TGACGCTTATTCTTCACATTGACAAGTTTAAACTTGTGATTCTTGATTCTCGACCTCGACACATCGCAACGCATTACGCATTTTAGAACACTGCTAATACCTAAATTATCAATTAAACTAATGAAAGTAAGTAAATGTGTTTTTCATATGTGTGAGATGCATTGCTAAGATATCGAATCCACATTGTTATTCCATTTTTAGTGTAACAATTAAAGTGATAATTTGAAATCATTTATGTTGTTCAATGTTCCTAATTTAATTGAAAGTCCCTCTCGATAGCGATCAAATATATTTCCCTCATGTGACCCTTCTATCTCTCGATGAAAGATGCAAACATGATAAATGCATTAACAATTACTAGAACACATATTGAAACCATATAAAGCATAGAAGTATATTTCTATCCTCTATCGAACCTTACAATGTTTATTATGATGTGCTTAAACCATATCGTCTCTCTCGATAACAATAAAATCCACTAACAATTCAATTGGCGATCAAACAATTGAAAAGAACGATAAAAACGATAATAAATATCCACAAATCAAATCAAATTAAATTCAAAATAATTAATTAAAAACTAAAAATATAATAACAAGGGTTCATCTCATCTTAGCAATGTATNAAAATATCATAACAAGTGTTCATCTTATCCTATCAATGTATAAAATTAGCCTAACATATTGAAATTACAAGAAATAATATTTAAGTAAAAAGATATGACCCGGATTTTTGATAAATTTTGAAAATGAAGATGAATCTTGAAATCTTGAATCTCTTCAATGGTTTCTTGATGAATCTCCACTTACGCCTTCTCTTTTTTGTCCAACAATCAGATTTTAATCTTCACTTGGTTGAATTCTAGCAAATCCCTTTCAATTCTCTCACAAGAACTATGAATTCTCTTCATTTGATGATAATAATTGATGAATAATAGAGTATAATATGTACATGAGAGTTCCTCAATATGTATTCTGCTGTTATGTATTTGTAGGAGTCGAAAATTGGTTGAAAATTACGTCCAATTTGACTTCCAAAAGAGTTCTAATCGAATAAGGAAAGTCATCTTCGTGCGCGGATTTTTTATCTTTGTACAGCGTTTAG